ATCCCTGCAGGCCAGAAGAGGGCACCAGATCTCATTACAGATGGTTGTGAGCCACCATGTGGTTGCTGGGAATTGAATTCAGGACCTCTGGAAGAACAGCCAGTGTTCTTAACCTCTGAGCCATCTCTCCAGCCCTGACCTGCATTACAGGTGGATCTCTGTGAGTTTGAGGCCAGCCTGGTCTACAGAGTGAGTTCCAGGAAAGGCACAAAACTACACAGAGAAACCCTGTCTCCAAAAACCAAAAACCAACCCCCTCCAAAAAAAGATGGTGGGAAGCCATCCTGGTATGAGCCTGGGGAGGCTTGATGGGGAAAGAAATCAGGGAATAGTCGCGCCAGCAGAGTTCCAGCCAGTGCAGCTGTACCACTGGATTTTCCAGGGCCACAACCCGGATCTGGCTTACTACAGCAATGAGCTGAGATCGGCATTGCCACTAAGCTGCAGACCCAGATTTTTTAGTGTTTCTCATTTTGAAACAGGGTTTTGTTGAGTTGCCCAGGCTAGTCTTGAACTTGTGGAGCTTCTGTATAAGCCTGAACCACTGTTGAGGCTCAGGGGACAGGAGAGGCAAGAGCTGGATTCTAGACCAGAGCCTCGGGAAGGGTAGCTGAAAGTCACTGCAGAGTTTCTCACCCAGGAGGCAGGCTAGGGCTGGGAACCTGTATTTCTCATGGAACACATGATGTTGTAGCAGGTTCTGGGAGACCCTAGTCCAAAGCCTTCCCACATAGATGAGTTTTATAAGATGATGGGGATGTCCCACACCTGTCATGTCCCAAACTGTAGCCATTAACCACCATGGATGCTGGAGACTCCGTGTGTGGCTCTTGGGATTGAGCCTGGATTTTTAGTATTATTTTATCTTAGTGTAAATGTGATTAGGCCCATGCAGTTGGCAGCTTCCAGGCTGGACAGTACAGTTTTACAGCTAATCCGTGTTTGCAGTTAAAACAACACCACCCAAGGCCCTACAAGGCCCCTCCTTTCTCTCACAGTCTTGGGATTTCTGAGGTGGGACTGAGGAGCCTCTGTGATAGGGACAGCTGGGCTTGAAGGCCCAGGTGTCTGAAAGGGGTAGGTGAGGGTGGGGGGCAGGTAGATCCCTGAGAAACACAGACATGCCATGCTATGCCATCCCAAGTGGGCAAATGCTCTGTCTCAGCCAGTGTGGTGCTCCTCATCTCCCACTTCCTTCTCTGAGGGTGCAGGGGCTCCCATTTTACTCTCCTCCCTTTTTCATTGAGGGTTACCCTAGGAGCTCACCGCACACAGATTTTCTTCACCGGCAGAAACAGGCCTGGACTCTGCTTCTAAGCATTATCGGGGGCAGTGGTGCTGATGCGGAGGAGAGCCCACTCCTTTTGATGTAAGGAAGCTTATTCGACTTCATCCCTGGCTCCAGTGGTCAAAGGGTCCCAGATTGTGTCCAGAATGGGACTCTACCTCTCTCTTTTGTGGCTCAGGGTGTGTCCCACGGACTCACGCACTTTCCAATCTGGAGGAGGCTCTGTGACTCTAATATGGGAAGTCTGGAGAACGTAGGTTTGATTCTGCCTCCGTGAAAGTCAGGCTTCAGGACTTCTTGGGTAGAAGTGAGGGCTTGGCAAAGGGCAGGCTGGTGGTGGGTCCACCACAAAGCCAGCTGTCTATCCTTGCAGAGTTTGGTATATCCCAGTAGCTTCCTGAGCCACTGGGTCACAGTGAGCAACCAAAAGCATTTCCACATGTTCAGAAGCTGACCCCACTCTCTGCCCGAAGCCTGATCTAAAGGTTCAAAGTCTGCACCTAAAGGCTTAGTCTTCCCCATGGCTGCTACTTCTCTTTGCCCACCTAGGTTCTGAAGACCTTGGTCCCAGGACACCATGCAGAAATGAGTATATACACTGCTTATTTCTGCTGTGACCACTGTGGCCAAGCCAATGTTCTCCTGCCCTGTGGCTTTAGGGTCCCAGCTTCCCACTCTGGCCTTTCTATGATCCATTCTCCATATGATCACAGCCATCTCCCAGAAGGTCCAAACCCATCACTTCTCGTCCCCCATCCCACCTTCCTGTCCCCCATCCTGCACACCCATGAGGCAGCCTTGCTGGTGTTTTTGGTTTCAGCCTGAGTCACTGTCTTCCTCAACAGGGTCAGCTCCTTCCTACTCCAGGACATTCTCATCAATTGTCTCTTTCTGGAATGCTCTTACCTAGAACTCTGTATAACTGGTGGTATAATCAGATCTCAGCTCCTTCTAATCAACTCAACCTCATCACCTGGCAGAGACTTCCATGGTCTTCCCGATGAAGCATCCCTCCTCCTCCTCCCCCTCTTCCCCCCTCCTCCTCCTCGTTCTCTCTCTTACCACTGTTTTATTTTCTAAGTGACATGATTTGTTTATCTCACCCCATGGAGTGGGGTTCACAGAGGGCGAGCGGGCTGAGCTCTGATTCTTAGATCTAGAGTCGCACTGTCACATAACAGGGTTCGAGAAATGTTTCTTAGTACGTTTGTGTCAGCACTTGACTGGGGGGCAAATTTATGGGTGATCTCACTTCCCTGACTGCAAAGGTTCAGACCTTCCCAGAGCCCCCCTCCCCCTGTGGAGCTCCAATTCATCGCTCACACTGACCTGTCAACTTAGAGATTTATCCGTGTGCCCCAAGTAACTTAGCAATCCACTGGGGAATGAGAGATTTAAGGGAGAAACAAAGTGAATCCTCCTTCTGACAAGAAGGGCAAGATGCTGATACAGAAATGGGAAGGGAGTGGGGGTGGGGGCTGAGAGGGCATGGGGGGGGGAGACAGATCATCTTCAGTAATTGAGCTGCCCTGCCAGTGACTCAAACTCCCATACTCCCAGGCTTTAATCCTGACACAGCACATTCACAGACAGAGCTCAGCCTTCAGACTTAGTATCCCTGTTCTGCTGGGGTGTGGTGGGGTGGACTCTAGGGATTCACCAGAGTGCCTGGGAGGACCATCTCCCTGAGTCACCTCCTGCTACCTGCTGTGCGGCTGCTGTGGCTGCCTAGGACTTTTGATGAGGAGAAACAGGCAAGGCCAGGGTAGGAAGGCTTCCTGAGTGGCTTCCCTGGGGGTAATTAAGAGATCTTCCCTTATGGTTGGGTCTGATGGGTCCCTGTTTTCTACCTTGACCTTAGTTTGTGAGGGACCTGCCATGGAGAAAGGATAAATCCCAGACCTCTTTCCACCTGCCATAGTTGACCTGGGTCCTTCCCCTGTTCTCATCCTCGCTGTCCCAGGCTGCCCCCTGCCTTCCCCTCCTGCTACCTCCCCACAGGAATCTTGTGTTTCCTCCAAGACCCCAGTGCTTTACTGTCCTCAGCTGGTCCTACAGCCTAACAGAGCACCCCGGTAAGACCACAGGCAGCTGGAGCCTTAGCAGGACATACATCCTTGCTCTGCAGTGCAGCTGAGTCACCAGGGATGACAAAACAACACACACACACACACACACACACACCACAAGCACAGACATACACACACACATACCACAAGTAGACACACCCACACATATACCACAGGCACAGACACACATATACCACAAGCACATACACAGACACACACACACACACACACACACACACCACAA